CATTAACTTCTTTCATTACAACTTTGGCTTTCTGCATTAGAAACCATTATATCTGCTACATTCATTCATCCGTTGTACCGCCGACATGTAATTTTGGGGATTTTTGCATCATAGACCTAAGAAAGCATTCCATACATATTTTGCATGTCTAAAAGAGCTACTTGCTTCTTCACCAAAGTATGTGATCAGCATTTTCATCTTACTGCTTTTCATCTGTGCCCAAATAAAATTAGCCGTGTTTTTTTCATTTCCAGGATGAAAAAGATTTGTGCACATTCACTGGATCTGAGTCTGAACATTTACCATTAGTAAAATGCTCACGAGAACAGTATTCTTTGTCGTACACGTTTTGAGGGGGTCAATCTTACACCCATTATTTTTCTGCTCCAACCGCGACACAAATAATCAGTTCTGCTTGCTACTTCAAATAAACGTGTGCAGGTTCTCTGCTAGACCATTTAACTAGAAAATACATCATAAGCAAGGTCGTCATCGTAAAATGGGGAATGTGGAATTTAATTTAACACTGCTGTCTTTAAAAAAATTAACTTACTTGGTAGTTTTTTTTGATATTTTAGCAAAAGCCTCTGCAAACCCTAAACTAGACTACTGTGCCTTTTATTAGATTCGAAGTTATTCAAATAGTAACAATCTACTTTGAGTTATTATGGCATGCGACTGTAGATAAAATATTTTTAATAAATTCACGAAGGTGACTACCGTAGGGTTAAACCTAAATAAGTTAATTGAAAACCACATAATTATTACAAAAAAGAGTCACTAAAACAGCATGCTCTGTTTATAAACTTAACTTAAAGAAAGTGCATCTTGTGTTATTAAGCCAAAACCTTAACCAATGTAAGGAATTTGTTGGGGGCAGCATGGATGCACGCGTTCCACTTTATTTGGCCATGCCACTGCGTGAAGACTTCTACAAAACACACCTAGTGCTGGACCCATCTAATGTAAATTGGACCGATCTTTAAACCCCTCTAAGTACTTGTGGTATATGATTTATCCACCAGTCATCTAAAATCAAATAAAAATGATGACGGCAAGAGTTTACTCTATCGACAGACACCAGGCTAAAAGTACCAGCGTCGACTCGAACGTGATTTAGCATGCATTTAATGTTGAAGTAACTGTCAAAGGTTCTCATTGTCTTTTTCCCAACGCCCTACATTACTAGAGAAGACGATCGTTACAATGCGTAGCAATCAGATGTCGCTGTGACATCTCGATAAGTAAAGTATTAACTAACTGTGGCAAACCGAAGGTGCAATTTTCCTTTGGCACCTTTCACCACTGCACCAAGATCAGCTCCGTTGAATTTTTCGATTTCTTGAAAGTAGCTAATTTGTCATCCAGGAAGGCTTCATAAAGCAACTATACAAGGCAATTCCGTAAAATTCCTTTGATCAAACCCTGCAAGCTTAGCCAGACTGTCAAATAAGCGTTCGCATTATGTTAGTCTGTACGTTTTTAAGTCTCGTGTGGGGATGTAATCAAAGGTACCTATTAATCAGAGGCACAAACGTCCATGCGCACATTTGGTCAGAAGGTTTGAGCATACGTGCAATTCATTGATAATTTACCCTAATATGGCTGAAAGTTGATTTTTTTATGCGTTAATGGACTGCCATCACAATTTGATAACGAGAATAGCACAATTTGAGTGCGAATATGATAGCGCATAATTCTTAACACCTCATTGAATTGAGTTTTCACCTGTAAAACTAGTTTTTTTCATGAAAACAGTCGCAAATTGGGACTCTTTTCAAAGACATCATGATGGCATCCACCAATACTAAGATTGCATACATGTGAACTGTATAACAAATTAGTTGTTGAAATGCACCTAAATTAATCCCAGTTAAATTAAACATCATGTTATTTTATAATGACCGACGCAAGCACTGTTTCATTGACATAAAAGATTTCCCTTTTGTCTGTTAAATAGGCTTTAGCGCTTTTGATAATTTAGAAACTTTACCAGCTCGTTTTTTGTCGCGACATAGTTGTAATATTGAGAAAACATATTGACAGCTCTGTTAAACAGACTGACGCATGACAGGTGGTAGATTGAGGCATTTGTCCTCCTTAATTCCTAACACAGTATCACAAGATCCTGAGAAGATTTATTACGAAACACTTTGTTTAACCATTAATGGATTCTCTGACTCAAAGGTATTACTGTAACCCTAACTCTAGCAGACTTCGGCAAGGCATTTCAGAATAAACTATGACCAAATTTATACATTGCAAATTTTAGTTTTTCGAACTCGCTAAGTTTCCATTAATGTCGTTGGTTTTTAGCACAATATGAAGCATTACACTTGGTGTCCACTGCAAAGGAATATTTTTGCACTTTGTTCAACAATGAAGGGTTGAATATTTTGATACATTTTTGAGAGAACTTGCAGTCATGACAACGAAATGAATCCTACACAACTCACACAATGATTTTGCTAAATCCATTAATGTATTTGAAAATTTCATTAGTAAACAACTCAAGGCCCAAATTAAGCATGGATTCAGAATATTTAATCACAAACAAGGTAAGTTGGAAATATCGGCTGAGGATATTGTAAAATTGTATTGCAAAGTAAAAAGGGTAAGGTTAATAACTTATGCAAGAATAAATTCCATTCAAAAAGGATTAATTTTTAATGTTTTCATCAATTTATCTAGTGGCTCCCGTAAATGATAATATCAAATAATTAATCGCATATTTTAGATGGAGTCATACCGAATCAATGTCACACGTGATAAATCAAAGTTTAGCTTATTAAGAAAAAAGATAAATTGCCGTAAAATGTTTAGTTTTAAAAATCTGTAAATCTATTTGGTTACGCTTTAATTAGAACTATTTAGTGGAATTTTGAAAAAAGCTTCACCATAACTCCGTATTTTTGAGATTCGCCAAATATGGAAAAAATTACCTGAAGAGCTAAGCTTTCAGCAACGTTATCCAAACGCATAAGCTGCCATTAATATAGATTACATGAACCCTAGCATGAAAAAGACAGGACCATCCCAACCACAAACCAGAACACTACGTCGTCCATCTGAAAATTTTATACTTGCTAAACCTCCCCTTGCATAGTGCTTTTCAAACACTCTTGCTTCTCGTTGGCTGCTGATCTTCAATGTTCAAATGCAGAAAATCAGTAAAGTTCTCTCTGTGCCTGAACCTTATTATGACACTAAAATATCACTTTTTGATAGGAATAGAAGAATGGGAAAAGTGATAATTTTACTTCGGTTTGAATTTAAACAAAGTTGAATAATTGGGTTTTTAACGCTAGTCCCATAGATAAAGATAGTAAATGGACTTGGTCATGTTGGGGTAGAAGTGACAAAATAGAAATTATGTTAGTGCGTATAAAAAAACATCAAACAAAATGCAATCTTGCATTAAACAAAAAACACCTGTAATAAACACCTTTCAAACGATCCTGTCATTTTATACTCAAAACTCTGTTATAAGTAAAAAACAAAAACGTAATTTTTTTAAAAAATTAAGAAACCTGCAGCAACATTTTGTTTAAAGCCATTCCTCGTTTTCCCGAAAATTCCGAATGTGGTTTTAGTGCGAACCGCTGATTTGAAGCTCAGTGTCTTTCAAAGAACTTTAAGGTTATTTGGAGTAATTTTTTGTTTCATTGGGTTTTGTGAGTTGTGTACATTAATTTCAAGTTTTGTAAACTTGTGCACTGTTCCTCCTTAAATTCGTCCAAAGTGATTATCATTCTAAGCACGGTCATTGCTTACTTCTAGTCGCATACCCATGATGCGCTTCCTTTTACTGTTATTCGTTTATGCCCGTTAGAATATAGTACGGATAGTATTCATTTGTTTAAATAAGCAACCACAGTTGAATTACCAGACGATTTTAACCGAGTCAGCATCTAAATAAAACCTGTTGTGGAGTTTACTGTTTTGGAAATAGGTCCTACTCTAGACAAGTGTATCCGAAGTTATTTTTTGCGCACGTTACTAGAAAAGTATAGCAGTGTGCTTAACGTGCAACTTTTAATTACCTTTTTTTCCATTACTCAGCCCCCTCTTTCGCTTTCTAGAATTTAGATCCACCTTAAATCTCCGTTAATTGTTAGCGATGTCCACTCCCAGACTTCCTGCATTCTATGGCAGAAAGTAAGTTATATTCTTCTTTTACGCTCAGCATGTAAATCTGCTCTATCTCTCAAGTTTGGTGTTTTTCTTAGAGATGCCGGTACGACAAAAAAATTTTGCCAAAAGTGCCTACAGGATGGACATTGGACTTACGAATGCAAAGGCAAACGCAAATACTTGGAGCGTGAGTCAAGAACAGCTCATCTTTCTAGATTCATGGAAAAGGTTGCAAAGTAAGCTTTTCTTAACATATGTGTGCTGTTTTTTCAGCTTACAGGTCAAAACATCAGGGCCGTATCAATTATAATTCGTTTGGCTTTTTCTGCTTTAGCTATCCGTTTGTATAAGCTAATAACTGTTAAAGCCTGTTTCTTTGTAAAACTCTACTTGGTCGCATTTTTTTATGTTTCACCCTCAATTTCTGTATCTTTCAAATAGCTTATATAATTTGTCTCATTGACTATTTTAAAACCGAAGTTGTATATAATGCGTCAGTTGATTAATGAAGCAAATTGTTCAGGTGTAAGTTATGTTACAAGTGAGGAGAGCTTAGTACTCAGAGTCACCTAGGATTTATTTTTTGATTTTGTCCACATCAATCTGCGTTGCTATTGTGAAATATAGGCATTGGTAGAACCTGTATGTGTAGTGACTCTTAGCTGAATACGTCGCATTGTTACTTTTTAATGTCTTCATTTCATCGTAAAGCTATAGCAAATGACGGGTGCCTCACAGTGCTACAATGTCATACACAATTTCTTGGGTGGAACAGTATGAAGAGCATGCTTGAAATCATAAGTCGGTTCACATTTAACAGACAATCATCGAGACCGTGTTGTGTTTTATAGATACTGAAAGCTTATTCACCTTTGATACATGTAACGAATTTTTCTTTGAAGAAAAACTGCGCAAAAACGCTCTTCAAAATCCTCGTCTTCTGACTCCTCATCATCAGAAAGCAGTTCTACTTCGTTTTCCTCAGACGAAAGTGACAGTGAAAGTTCCTCTTCTGGTAGCTCCAGCGACTGTTCTTCCTCTTCTACCAGCAGTGAAAGTGGGACATCTTCTGGAAGTACAAGCGGATCTTCGTCTAGTTGTGAGAGTGACTGATTGCAGAACCAGTAAAGCCAGCGTTGTTGGGCAGAAAAAGACAATCCTTGATGTTTTGTAAATAAAGTACCTGTTTCTTTTTACTACTTTCATGTGTCACAATGCCGATAGATCAAATGTACAATGTTCTCTTGATCTCCATTATGGTATCACTCGAGGAACTAAGTCAAAACCGACAGACTGTGGAATCTTCTGCTTACTAAATTCTGCGCTGTTATTCCAAATCATGTTGTTTGTCCAGAATTGTCGTCAGTTCCCTGAGCTCGCTTTCTTGGAGCCGTAGTATTTTACAGTCGTTTATTTTAGTCGGTAATTTCTTTACCGTAGAGTAGTTTGCCATCAACGTTTAGTTGTGAAAGCACCGGTGATGCAGTTGTCGCTCCCTAGTGTACAAACGTGTACGCATTATGGAGGTATTATTCTATTCCGTCCTGTGTTTGTTTAATGAGTGGGCATGTTAGCCAGCGCATGCATATTCTGTGTGAGGTATTTTGAGCTACAGCAGGGAGTTGCTTCTTGGACAAAACGAGACGACTATGAATAGGCTTCCAAGGGGTGAGTCTATTTAAGAAAAAAGTATTGTTAAACTTGCGTGGGCCCCAAGACTGTACAAAATCATACTTTAATTCTGCATAAAGTATCCTTCATGTTGCCAACATCCTAATTGTGGAGGTGGAAACTCAACAGCTTCAATACGTGGGACTTCTGTGTTTACAATGTGACGCCCGGGGAATGCTCTGTAATAACTCAAGCTTCTGTGAAATTGTCAACCCTCAGCATACAGCGAGACTTTTCAACATCTGAATATTTCCTCCACAAACATTTTTACTACGAACCAGTGGTTGGATTCCTTTGCCTTCTTGTGTGGGATGCCACCTGCTTATCAGAGAGTGCCCTTGGGAGCGTGCTGTCGACATGCTCAGAGCTGCTGCTTGAACAGTCAACAAGGCGGGGGCTCTGCTCGGAGCCAGGTTTAGCTGTGGTCATGTCTAAATGTGACGCGCAAAACACGTCATCGCACATCTCCCGCGTAGCAGCCTTTCTAATCCATTGAAAAATTGCGAATCTGTTATTTACTTTTTGTGAGCGCCTTTTAATACATTTCAATTCGGACGATCCCCATGTTTCCTTTAAGAACTCTCAAGTCAAATCCAACATCGAATTTAGTGTTGCGATATCTAGTTGCCAAAACAGCACACCGGCACATTATTCAATTTCGGGCGAATCGAGAAAAACTTCTGATTGATATTGTGAATCGTGTTTATTCACACTCCTTAATCCGGTCGCTCCACCTCCGACACAGGGTTCCCCTTTTCGCAGCATGTCGCCAGCCGCGCGAATCATCAACTCCCCCCTCATTCACACGGACGTTTATCGTAAATTATCTTAACACCTAGGTCTCGATGTTAGCGCAGTTATGACTCACACATCCGAGCATAAATACGCACGCGCATACCTCACACGGCACCACGGCTTCGTCAAGTTCTCGAATAAATGGTTGCCTCTCTGCCCTTCCACAGACTTCCCCCTTGTGGTATATGGCGTCTCAACAGTATGTTCACCTCCGTACTTACAGGTTGCCATTGAGCTTGTCGGTAGTTACCCTGTATGCACTTTTGTGTGCTCAGGAAAAGGCCTACACTTTTCCCCAACAGTCATAACTGGTGGCCTGTCCTAAATACCTGCCAAGGGCATGGTCAGCCATTCGAATTGGTGACTGTCACATTAACAAATAGCAGCTGCAGCTTTGAGGCCGTATTCCGTCCTGGTGACGACTTACGCACCCAATTAGAAATTCTGAAATCGACAATGTATATTAACTGGTGTGGTTATTGATCCTAAAACACTCGTATCTCCTATTTGCGTTTAATAGTACTGAGGTTTGTATAAGGGATGCACCAGTTATATAAAGAAGTCCAACGAGGTATTTCTAAACCTGAGCCATGTTTCCCTTTTGATTTAGCGGAATTTTTGAATGCACCTCCTTAAATTTGGATACCTGTAACTCGGTGAATGTTTTGCTGCTGACACCACTGTCTGAATAAAAGCAATACGCAAATGGCTAAAATTAAATTTACTCTCTCCAATAATGGGTGTTTGAGGCATGCCGCTGGCATGTGATTCGGGTTTATTAGGACACGAGTAACATTACATTCTGTCCACTAAGACGCAGGCTTCAAGTGAAATACGCTGACGATAAAGTATAAACGCTTCACGAAACGTGCTCGTTGGTAGGCCATAAAACCTACGTACACAAGTACTTAGAACTTTGTTTACAAAATACCACAAAAAATCAATTCTTGAAATCATTTTACTGCGGTGTATTTTGAGTGCAAAATTAGGAATATTCAAAAGTTTCCTTCATGTTCTGTTGGCAGTAGTTAGGTGGATGAGCAGTAATATTTCAGTCTACTTTGGTGAAGGGAAGATGCGACCTGATCTTGTTTCCGTTCACCCAGTGTGATATGACCTCGCTGCCTGACGTAATTTGTGTTCAATGTCAGCTTTTTCAAGTTAATTTCATCCTTACACATATTTTCCAATGTAAATGCCGTTCCCCCCACTTGTTGTTCAGTTTTCGCATTTTAGGGTTTTTTTTTGTCCAGCCTGGGGTCCAAATGATAAGCTGCTTGGAGTAGCAGACCTCAAGTACACTTCTCAACCAACTTAGTCTTCCGATCTCGCTAGTCAGGCGCTTCTCTAAAGTTGGCTACTTGACCACTGCCAAAGTCTGCCATTGCATGAACCTGTACGCAGATGATGTGGACCACATCTATGGTCTCCATGATTACGCTTAGGCACGTTCCCCACATACACTGCTGTTTGCTGACTTCTTAGCTGATCAGAGTAAGGAAAATATCGTCTGTCGGTTGTGAGATTTTTTCTCTTTAAAGGGCAGTCATGGAAGTCCAAGTACATATCATGATTTGCCAAATGCGCAACCACTTTCAGCGATGCTAGTACTAGGCGTGTTCGGGGAAATCTTGTGGATGGTGCACGAAGGTTGGAAGAGTCGGGTTTCTCTCCCATCTCAAAGTTGAGGAATTCTGTTTTCGTATTAACCCTGCTTTTAGGCCTATTGTCTTAGTGTTAATTTGGCTTCTGTCGGTCCAGTCATTCGTTTCTTAAGTCGACATCAAGAGTTTGAAATTCGTTTATTTGAGCTCTGAAGTTAAACAGGTTGACGTCCAATTTTCGGTATATTGTAAATTCAGTTGGTAGTTAAGTCGCTTTAGCTACTGACAAGCTGTTAACGGGGTCGAATAAATCTAAGTAAAGAGTAACCAATACAACTGACGACTACTGCAAATACCAGTGATTTTTCCTCAGAATTTTCATAAATGGAGAGTTTTTTACCTTTCATTTAAATTTGTTTTACCAAATCATTTCATCTGACGCTTAAACTGATTTGAAACATTTGCATGTGGAGTGTTGCTGTTAATAAAAACCTCTTCAGCCTACGTTAGTGTTTGAGACATAGCAAGGATTTCAGTCTGATGGAACGCTTACATCACCAAGTAAAGCTTTCATTCTATTAGTTGCATCACAGCGTAAATTTGACTCCTTGCGCCAATTTGGCATAAATGATTCTTTAAGTAGACCTTAAAAGAAACTCCCAGAGACTCCTAATATTACCGGAATCTTATCAGGATTATTGTCACTTTGCATTTGCAATCAATGTCGCAGTAAGGCTATGAGATGTAGAATAAATTTTGAATTAACGTGTGTTTGCTCCTTCTTGCTAATGCTTCGAGCTTCGGGATTCCTCAGAAAAGAGGTGAAATGTTTGAAATCAGGGCATTATTTTTGGATGATACGGAGTTTACGTGAACCTTACTCACACAAACTCAGAATTCATCCAGCTCACTTCTTGATGGAAGTATTTCCAAAGCCAACGAAGTTTTTTTGTAAGTCCTAAGCTGTTCTTGCATTTAATGGATGTTGTGACGTTTTTGTACATGTTCTATTTGGTTATTACTGATAATTAACTGAACAGTAAAAAGTGGGCTAAGACAATTAACTTATTTAGAAGCATTGATTACGGCTGACTATAAAACCAATTGCTATTCACAAGAATGTGAATGTAAGTAGAAGGCACAATTAGCAATCTGGAAGAGTAAGAGTATGTGTAGAAATTAACATTTGTGAAGGTTATATTCCCTTCGCTGTCGATGCGAATGTAGAAAAAGGAAATGGTTCAGTCTTCAACATAATTTGGCCTTAATCTTGGGTCAGTCCATCTAGAAAACAGCCAATTTTTGTTTACGAATTTGCAGGCTGTTCAAGTTACATAAAACTCAACATTTATTGAAAATTACGTCTATTTACAATTAACCTTTTTTCAATATAAAGATCTCATTGGCCGAACTACCAAAAAGTCACTATTTCGTGATCCACATACAACCCAGAGGTAGTTTAGATTTATCAACCGAATTTAGAACACAGCCTAAATTCTGTTGGGCGTTGCAACTTTGAGCTCAGTTGATGATGCAGTTATGTTTAATTTGATCTATGCTGCTTTTAGTCATTCAAACATCTAGTTAATTTTTTTTATCTGAATAATGTGCCTTAAAACTAACTGGTGGCACGTCTAAGATAAATGGGATTTAACATTTCTAAGGGGCTCATTTACTTTAAGACATGCACAATAATAAAGAAACGAACGCAACTTCTGGAATCGTAAACTTTAATTTAATGGAGTGAAAAATTCAAGGCATTCACATATCATTTCATTAGTAAGGTGTAGAGCTGTGTTGATTGTAAAGAAGAAAAGTAAAAAAACTAAGATACTTATTTAGTCACTTAAAAGTTGCATTTTATGGTAGTCTAGCGAAACACTACGGCCTCATACAAGAGATTCGGCAAAGCTTACAATTCAGTAGTAAAAACGGTGTCCGATGGATGGTGAGCGTCTGTGGTAGGTCATCATGTCATAAGAATTTAATGACGGCGAAATGGAGCCCCAACGTGATGTATAGTAAGACTGGGTATAGGTAGATGGTTCATAGGACATCACAGGCGATCCATGTTTCCGAGGCCTCGATCCTCGCCTTACGCGGTACGCAGGGCATGAACTCGATCTGCGTTTAGATGGTCGCCTAGATGGCGAATTGTAGTAAGAGCGCAAGGCTAGGGGGTCTCGCGATGGTGACATCGGTCTTCGACTTCTCGGCACTCGTCCGTAAATGAGCCAGTGAAGAAAATCACAAAATGCCAAATATTGTCCTTCACGTTGAAACACAAGGAACCAGAAGCCAGTTTTAGACCTCCTCGCTGCTTGGATCAAGAACCCAACAGTCTTGTTTCTCAAATTAAATGGATAAAAATCGATGATATCCTGACTGAATATGGTGACCTTCTCACGGTCTTCCCGTGGCCCAGTAATATCCTTCAGTTGAATCACTCGCTCGTTTCCGCGAACAAGAACAACGCTGCTCTCTTCTTCCAGGCGTTTCAAGAACAGGCGGTAGACGCGGCAGTAACTCCTACTGGTATACGGGTCCGCAGGGATAAATCCATAGTTGAAAGCCACTTCCTCAAATCTCACTGGTGGGACAGACATTGGGCACAAAATTGAATGCCACCCCCCTCGTTATCTTTAGATTACAACTAACTCGGTTATACGAATGCACGCAAAATAGCATGGACTTTGTCGCGTAAACTGTAAATCCACTGAGAAATGGTTGTGACTGCGTGCGTGCACACATTCAACCTCACAGATGTACAATCGCAATTCCCATTGGTAGTTTGGTCTAGATTTAGCTTCGCGAGCAGCCTCTTAATTTAATTAGGTCCTCTGTATGACAATCACGCATAAGGGAAGTTCAATTACTTTATCAAAGACTGCAGGTATGCAGCTAAGCCGATTCGATGTCACAGCAACGCGTGACCTCGAGAAGTAAATAAGAATCCACGAAATCAGAAAGGCACTCTGGGAGAACCAGTTGCCGAAAATTAAACCAAAGCAAAACAGGGGTTGACTTTGACTAATGTCTATGTGAATTAATTGACCAGATTAAAAGGTGAATCTAGTTCCCAGTATTTTCAAAACTTTTATACTGTTTGGAATTTTGAACTTGTTCCTTATCGACCACAGCACTTTTACACATAAAATATTATTGCTATTGCTTTTCTACCTGAAGAATTATTCCGCATAATTGTTTCCGCACATCTTGATGTGAATACAAATGGGCTCTTGATCTTGGACATTTCGTGTCAATATCTACTGGCTCAAGAGATTTGATAATTTCTTGGTATTTAATTACAAAATGTGCCAAAAGCGATCACTGATAATAAAATATGTTATTTTATTTCTGTTTATGCTATGGCTTTACTGTTGTGGTGCTCGGTGTACTACTACTTGAACGTACAGTATGAATGGAGGTCAGCCTTCGCCAGCCTCATATTTGTTAAGTGCGTTTGTTGTATCATATTTGTTGTTTAGTATCACACACACACACATGTTGTTAAACGCTTCGGATTGTCTGTTACTGGTGTGTTAGCCCCGTTTGTGGGTCTTATAGTTTCGTAGACAATCATTGTACATAAAGGTATCCTCTCTGGCGTTTTGTTAGCTTTACTAGTCTAGTGAGCCAATTCAAGTAGATTTAAAAACGAGTTTCTAGGTAATATCAGTCTTTTGACCTTAAATTGAAAATTAAATATTTTTTAATTAATCTTATTTGAATAGTCTTAACCTAGGTATAACTTATAGTCAACGCCAAAGATCTGACAATTACCACATTTTGAATGGAGAGCGATAAATCAGATACACACTCACTATCACCGGTAATGTATGGCCCAACTATGTGTACATATAATTTTCTAATTACTAACTAAGCTGGACGCAATTCTCAATTATGCTTAAATGGTCTTCGGTTTTTCCTGCAGGTTTCGGGCATTACTTGCAGTTGTATACGACATCACACGTCTACAGCATACGCTGGAACCTAGCAGTGAAGTTACTTTATAAAGGAATTCTTTTCATTATGTGATAATGTCAAGATTCAACCGCATTTAACTGTCTCTTTGTACGCCCCTGTGGTAAATCTCAAGTTAGAGTTTAATCTGGTCGCATCTGAAACCAAATATAGGAAGATAATCGTCACAGTTGACAAGTAGGATGATGTCCTCACACAAACTATAATGGAAAATTTCAGGTCACTTCAAATTCAGTATTAGTTAACATCACTTCTTGAGCATTAGGGATTTCCAGTTTTTTTGTTTAGGTGCCAGATTACCAGAATTAAAATGTCTTGAGAACCCTGTGAAATCTGGAGTGTCATTGCTTCATTGAGCCTACTTTAAAAATGAAAATGCAAACATGGCCACCAAGGGGTGGCGTTGGTGCATAGTCAACACTATGTTGGGGTTTGGTCTGCTAGTAGTCAAAATTATAGCATGAAAACCACCACCTTTTTCTTGTTTCAATGCATGTTAGTCAAAGCCATACGGCTTTGTTACGTTACCGCAGTACTGAATTAGCATTATTTTTAGAAATGTCGTACAAAATTGGTTTGTACTACTCTCCACCAGTGCGATACATGGGCTTAAATGGAGCACAGAAATTAGAAACTGAGCCTGACGGCGAAATCCCGGTTCGATCTAGGCTTGGAAGTGTTTATCTTTGGAGAGGACGCCTAGACCGTATATGTAGTTAAGTGTAACAACGTCTAGTATTAATTTGTTTAGACAATAATTAAAAATATGCTTATCTGTTCGACTAATCCTCCAAAGAAATGGCGCATAAAAGCGAAGGAATGTGGAATGCATAGCCTACTGAGGCATGCCTCAAGGTTCCTCAAATCAATCAGTTCTTCAAAAAATCACGCATAAAATATTCATTCAAGACGAACATGTTCCCATTCTTACTTGTGACACTTTCGCCGAATTAAAATTCTCAGTCGATGACTTTAATATGCCGCAAATAATTATCATCTTATACAATTTGAGCTCCGCTGTTTCTTTTAAAAAAACACCGTTATTGATGTTGATTGCTCAAACGTGATTTAATTTTATTTTCGTGGCTTTTAGGGATGTTGAAAGTCAGTCACCTCCTAAATAGCAATTTTCTTGTAAGGGTATCGGCCGTCAAATGGGCATGTCATTTAACAGTTTCCTGCATTTGTGATTTTGTGTGGGTAACCTTTGATCTCTGCTGTAGGTTTATGTTCTTTACAATTAATTGACTCAGCCCTGTGTTGAAAAGATGATTGCTTAAGAAGCTTAATCGCCCACGTTTTTGCACGAACCTGAGAACAAAATACTTATTTTTCAACCAGCAATATCTGAACTTGTGTCGTGAGCTTTTGAAAACGTACACCGCGCCTCACACAATGGAAAGGCGAATATATTAACAAAATATTTGAATGGTGTTGCTATTACCTATGAATACAGGTGCTGCGGCAATTCAATGACAGGAAATTACTCGTTATATCGCATGATTTGAAGACAACTGCACAAATTTATAATTTAGCTTAGGAATGCAGAAAACAGTTTTTCTTTATCAACTCCACCCACAAATGCTGGTCCTTCATTAAAAATGAATAATGAATAATTTAAAACTCCAATTTTTCAAATCCCAAATCTCAGAAAATTTCGAAGAGCGACAAAAAAATTTATTTCATAGTAAATTAAGCTTTTAATGAAATTACTAAAGCAATTTGAATGACTGGATTTTGAACCCGTTTTATGGCTTCACTTAAAGCAATGACTGATAATACCACTTATAAAATGTACTTCAACTACACAGGATGCTGTTATGAGTTCGCTACTGCCTCAATAACATTACAAGCACTCTGCAGAAGTACTCGTCACCAATGTTACCCGTAGATCGCTAGCCAATAGTACGAGAAATATTAGTTTGCACACATCTTCTTCCAGATTGCTTGAAATGGTGGTGATTTTGGCTGAACTGATGTTTATTTTAAAAATGTGATAATATCGAAAATTCTGAACCCCCAGATTGAATATCCATTTGTTGTTTAACCCCTCCTCCACCTCAACACGGTATCACAGAGAAATCTGTCAAGTGTTTATGAGTCATCTCGGTAAGAAACAACTTGTCAATTTAAACAATTAATAAAAATGAAGTAGGGACAATTTAAGAGTCCTACGACGAAAAGTGGCTGATTAAGCATGTTTCGTCAGCATCAAATAGTTTTTTGCAACTTATTCTGACTTGGCCACCCTTTAAGGTACTTATCGGAATGAGATTAACGATTTCGACATCGCTTTTATAAGCTTTTCTAACTCTTAAATGCTGGAACTACTAACAGTAATCAAATAGTATTTTCGATTGCTGTGATGCCTGTGATAATTAACATAATAGTTCCCATAGCACCCATTGCGTAAATCCTTTGTCTGGCCTTGAGCTGTCGTAACGATGGATGACAGTTGTTCATTCGTTCAGTGATGAAGGCTTTGTTTTTCTTTTTTTCAGAACCTACTACAACCTAAGTAACTTCACACATGATACATCAGTTGCAAGCAAAGTACAACGCATCCACTTGTCTGAAGGAGGTGCTAGTCATTCCATGTTGCTCAACACGATGAGTTTATATGAGCAAAGCAAATCGATTTGTTGCATTTAGAAAACATCAAAAAAATAATTTTGTTGTGAATAATTATTGCCTGTTGAGACTCCAAAATTACCTAATATAGTACTTCATCTATCATTATAGAAAATTTGACCTAATTGCCTACTTAAACCAATCCATCACATGTAAGGCTTAAACTTTAATTTTAACTTTTAACATTTGCAACCTGTTACTCAAAATTGGCAATTTTACACGCCATTATATTTTACACCGTGTCCTTTTCCTCTTTTGAGACCATCCTTCTTGTAGTTGACAAAATACTGCCTGCGTGTCACGTGTTAGTAATAAGAAAACTTTCATTTGTCTATAGAAGGCCATACGGTAATATATATCAGAGAAAACTACAATACTATGGGTTAGAAAAAGACCCAGTTGTGGTGGTTTAATTTTTTTCGAAATAAAACTAATTGCTCTGGAATAAATTAAATTTAAACGCAGAAGTTCAACAGGACAGTCTGATAACGGCTGAACTTTGTCCTTAAATTACGACTTTATCTGAAGATTTTGTCAATTCTAAGAAATTTTTAATTTTATTAGTAATATTCGCCAATGTATGTAATTATAGTGAGCAAAAGTCAACGATTACTTCTGCAGATTACAAAAGTTTGTTAAGTAGGGTTTAGTTCTGCACTACCACTTTGACAAAACCAAACCGTTAACGACACTGATTATAATTTGGCAAGATTTCGTGCACTTTAAGAAACCTTGGCTGGTAAAATTTTAGATTGTGGCATTTTTGACCCAAATGATACACGAAACAAAAGTTCCTAGTTGCGTGAGTAGCATAATCATTACCTGCTGCAGTTGTTTTCGATCAGTCTGCTTTTGGCAAGCAAAATGCAGAACCTAACGTCGGCACACCCTCGTGCTAAATATAACTGACTTCAATTGACTGCGTTCTCATCGGAGCATAAATCACTGAGCTTCAAAGAAATGCGCATAACAATGGGTGTTTTAAATTGCA